ATCACTGTTCTATTAAGATTCACTGTGCTGAAAAGTGTATCTCAAAATTATTTTTAAAATCTTAGGAATATTCTGTGGTATAATTTGTTAAATAATTTACTCCTTAGACGATTGGACCCCCCATACATGGGTGCAGATTGCATTGAATGATTCCGATACAATCTTACAACAATTTGACCATGTATGAGCAGAATGCAATTGAAGCCGGTAGTCCATGACCCTCAAGGTGTTTTTTGGTCCAGCTGGGAGATTCCTGGGTATTAATGTTTTCCCGCTGGATAAGCATGTATTGTATTGCTGTACGGAGGGCTCATCCAACATGCTCTACGATTTACCTGAAAGCAACTCCCTACTTTTCTCTTTTACAATCTTGCTGTTCCATGTTTCCATGACTGAACCGCTTTCTCATTTGAATTTTCAGCTTGTAGCCGCCATTTGATTATCAAACAACATCAATTAATCGCTAAATATAACAGAGTTTTCAGTCAGTCTGAGCAAATTGTATCCAAAAATGTCAGCACAGGATTCAGGCTTTGTTCACACCTAGGTGGCACCGATTTTGTGCGTTTGTACGTGCGTTAGCAGCATGCGGTTATTTGCGTGTTGTATGCGCGTTTTACCGCGCGTACATGAAAACACACGTTTTGATTGGCAGTACATAAACCATTGCGCGCGTATAAACGCGCAAAAACGCTCACGGAAATGTACAACATGCTTCTGTTGCGCGTTTTTGGGCATTTCCAATAAAGTCTATGGGGCTTTTAACTGCCTTAAGAAGCTCCTGTATCTTTTCAGGCGTTTGGCGTTTTCTGCTCAGGTGTGAACCAGGGCCATTGAAAATCATGGGATTTCTTGTGTTAGGCTGGGCACATACCTTACAACCATCGCAAGACTTTGCATAGGCAAAGACTTTGCATCTTGCATAGGCAGATCGTACTTGCGATGATCGCAAGCCACGCCCCCTGAGGGGCGTGCTTCCGATGACCGCAATGCCGAACGGGCAGTGTGCGCTTGCACACACCGGCCCGCCTGGCTTTGATCTTACGAACATGCTACACACCCGCCGAACATTGTACGATGCTCGGCGGGTTTTCGAACATCTTCGTAAGTTAAAAGTCGTGCAACCTTACAGTAGTAGAGGTCGCACGGCTTCCACACACCTTACGATAATCGTACGATCGCGGGATTTCCCGCAATTATCGTAAGGTGTGTGGGGACCTTCAGGCCCCGTTCACATTGAGCGATTTATCGCGTGGTAATTCCCGCGATATTGCGGCAATTTACCGCACGATATCGCTCTCCAATGCTTCTCAATGGGGCGAAGGGTCCTGCTGTCGCGGGTCACGCGTCGCTACAGCAAGACCCCTTTTTGGAGCGGATTTAGCCGCGATTCAAGCTTGCTCAATGCAAGCATTTGCGTGATATCGCGCAAAATGCAAATCTCGTGATATCGCGCAAAATGCAAATCGCATTGATTTGCGAACCGCTCAATGTGAACGGGGCCTTAGGCAGTTAAAAGTGCTTTTCAAACTGCTCAAAAACTTCTAGGTGTGAACCAGGGCTTAAAAATCCCTTTTTCCAATGCCCTTCCCTCACCAAAAAAACCCCAACATCTGGCAATCTCTTTCATATACACATTTAAATTCTACATTTTAAATATTCGTATTTTTATTTATTTGACATATTTTAGTAATTTTAAAAATATTTTTGGGTGCAGTAACACTTGAAATCAGCAGTAAAATCTTCTGTGCTTTCAAAACATTTCAGATGGGCCTATTACAGGTCAAATCGTTGTTCTTTGTTTTTTTTCCATGGGTCTTTTTTGACAAGTTTTGGTCAATACAAAGCACCTTGGGGGCATTTTCCATCCAGTTTCTGTATATTTTTAGAAAGGTGAAGATGCCAAGCGACATTTGTATCGCTGATAAGTTTTTTGTTTTTTTAATTTCCAACAAACTTCAAATTTTTATACACAAATGTTTTATAAGAAAAATTTAAACTTTGTGTCATCTGATGCTTTCAATGACGGGAATCTGGAGGAGTAACGGTGTAATTTTTAATGGTTTTCCTTTTTCCCCTTATCTAGCCACTTTTTTAACATTACTTCATCTCATTTCCTAAATAACTTGACAATAAAAATGTTTTTTCAGTTTTAGATAGAGTGAGGAATCTCTGTGCGGTCACTTTGACTAGAAGTGAGCCAAATGTACCTAAAGGGGGGCACACACAGTAATAAAATCTTCTTTTTAAAAAAAGTAGAGTAGGGAAGGGTTCAGGGCCGGATTTACTCTCTCTGCTGCCCCAAGGCCAGGTTCCTCAATGTGCTCCCTACCCGCCAACCCCCCCTTCCCCCCTTCCCCATGGAGAATGGCAGACCTGCAGGCTGCATACAGGTGATCTCGGCCACATCGCTGAGATCACTTTTACAAAACAAGCGGCGGCTTCCCCACTGTACATTTTAGCTCTACTTGCCCAAAGCCGGGCTAAATGTAGAAAACAACTTCCTGCCCGGCGCCTGGAACTGCATGTCCCGGGCATCGGGAGATAGGAATTCCACACCCCTGCTGCCCCTCTACTTCCTGCTGCCCCAAGGCCAGGCCTTGGTTGGCCTTGTGGGAAATCCGGCCCTGGAAGGGTTACAACCTCTGTTTTATTCGTTGTCTGTGCTTTATTTATAAATGTCAGGTCACCATTCCCCACTGCAACCTAAACTAACAAATAAATGACTAGGCTGCATGTAAGCGAGCCTACAGGCAGTGTACAGGCCTTTGAGAAGGTGCCCAGGTTGCATTGAGGGATGAAAGTTTGGTTGGGTCAAGTGCACGAGTTACAACTCAAGATTGGCCTTCTTGGCATCTCCCAGGGGTTCAGGGGCTCCTAGTGCATACAATGGCGGGGCGGGGGTTATTAATATCTTGTGGCCCCTGCTGTAACACGCCAATGCCATAGGTCCTCCCAAATTTAATCCCAACTGAGCCATTAAACAGAACCACAATTGAGGTGAATTAGGTCTGGGCAACCTCCAAGCCACTACAAGTCCCATCTCAGTCTCCAACCAGCATGTAGCGGGTCTTGCTGAGGCTTGTCATTCTTTAGTATCTTAGGAGTCGTCAGCTGCACAGATCTAGCTTGAAAGTGGAACCCCGCTGCTGCTGCTGCTGACTGTCAGTCATTTTTCCGCATCATCAGACTGCCGTTCATTCACAAAGTCCTGTGTTTTACGGTTGTTTGCAAATGCCGGTCAATAGCAGTATTGATCTGTTCTGACAATGTGCATTGCATAGCAGGAGACTCTGCACAGCATCTGCGACGTTGCTGAATAACTGAATTCTGTGATGCAGAGGGGCTGGCTGGAACAAAGGAAGAGCAGGGCTGTTGCACATGGCAACCAATCCCGACATTACTGGCATGAAAAAGAAAAAATATATTGTGTGACCTGGTTGTTATACAGTAAATCGGGGGTGGGAAACCTTGGCAATCCAGCTGTGACCAAAACTACAAATTCTATCATGCCTCTGCCTCTAGTAGTCAGTCTTCCAGTGCATCATGGGACATGTAGTTGGAGTGTCGAGGTTTTCTACCCCTGCAGTAAATTATCTTAACTTTGCTATGGGTACGCTACGCCAAGCACAGAGGTTACTGTCACCCCATCACAATTTCCAGTCAGTCATTTCTTCTTTGCATTACAAGTACCCTATTGAATTTCTTCATGATCAAATCAAATAAATGGCACCCTTTAGGTGCAGATAGGAATGCCCTTCGCTAAGGCCTCCTTCCCACTGACCCACTGAGCCTTCACTCTGATCCTCACTGTAGCCCTCACATTGACTCTCCTCGCACCTCTGACCTTAACACCAACCCTCCCTCTGACCCTAACACTAACCCCCCATGTAACCTAAATCCTAATGTTGTCTCTCTCTCTAGCCCTAAGACTAACTTTAACCCTGACACTAATTCCCCCCATAGCGCTAAAATTGACCGTTACTGTAACCTAAATCCTAACATGGTCTCTGCCTCTAACTCTCTCTGTAGCCTAAATCCTAACACTTTTTTTCTCCCTCTAACACAAACGCTAACCCTAATCTTCCCACTGACCCTAACACTGATCTTCACCCTAACTATCCCTGTAACCTAAATCCTAACACTCTTTCCCTCGAACCCTAAAATTAACTCTTATACTAATCCTCCCTCTCTTGCTAACATAACCTCTAAACCTCTTTTAACCCAAACACAAATCCTTCCCCGTGACCTAAATCCTAAATCTATCTCTCCCTCTAATCCTAACACTAATCCCTCTTCTAACCCTTCCAGTAACCCTAACACTGACCTTATACACTAATCATCCCCATAACCCTCATCTCTACTTATAACCCTAACACCAACCTTCTCTAATGTGACCTTAACCTGTTGACCTCCTCACCTTTCCTGCGTTGAGCCCCTCGGTGCCAAAGACCAACTATTCCTGTCCAAAAGATACCGGCAATGGAGCCCCGGCAGAGGACTCTACGGCTATACTCAGCAGAGATATCTGTATTCATTGAATTAACCCTTTAAAAGGTTTTCTGTTCTTTAATTTTTGTATGTGATGGAGATTTGTGTATCACAGTTGGGAACCGGTTCTCCATATGAACCTTTCATCCCGGAAAGAGCAGAGTCGGAGCCGGATCCTCCGGTTCTGCGGTGTCTTTTAAAGCTGAGTTCAGAATGAACCGGGTCACTAAAACTTGTTTCATCCACACATAGCGCAGAGGAAGAAGTGTTTACCAACAAAATGTGTTCTGTAGCCGGGACGGGCAGCATCACGTGTTCTTGCTAACAGAACATATGGAATTAAAGGGAACAGAGGATGCCATTGCTATCCTCACAAAACTGGAATAATGCCATTTGGTTGGGTCAACTAATATATAAATATTACAAAAATGGGATCCAGAGGCAATTCTTTACAATTTGAGGTCTTTTTCCAGTATCTCTGGGCAGGTGCTCCCGCTTAATACTTGAATCATGTACATACCGTAAGTAAGTGATTTGGGCTCCATAGCGGCTTATTTGTGTAGAGCTGAGCCATTAAGAACTATAAGGGTCCATTCACATTTTCGTGGTGCATTGCACTAATGTACATGCGCACATTATATGTCAATTTAAATGTCACCCCAATTTATGAGGCCACACTGTTCCAGGGCACATGTGTTGGAGTGCATTGCCGTGCTCTGTACACACTACCGCTCCTTGTGATGCACTGTAGGCCAACAATTGTCTGGGTACTATGAGCTGCTTTCTACCCACTTCTGCCTCATTAACATCTGTATGTAACTCCTTCCTGATCAGCTTCCCATGCTCCTATTAAATCTGGTGCATTTTTGGGATGTCATTGTGCATTGCCAGCCCATTTATTTAATGGGCTGCTATAAAGCAAGGCATGTCAATGTGTGAAAGAAATGCTTGTTTCATGCATGTGCATTCAGGGCCATCCCTATAATTTGGCAGTCTCAGGGGGTTGCCTCAAGCAGCATCTCACTAGGTCACATGGGGAAGGGGGGGAGGTGTGCCGACTTTCCAGCCAGAGCATCCCAGGTTGCTAAGAGCTCTTACTCAACTCACTGATGTCACTGGCTGCCAGGAGCTGAGCAGGACACTCTAGCTGGCATCCCACCAGCTCCTGGCAACCAGTGTCGTCAATTATCAGGGCGGGATGCCGTTAACTACAAGCCAGCCCCTGATTCCCCCCCAATCCCGAAACGTCCACCACAAGCTGCCAACAAACGTGCACAAAGAACACCGAACCCCCCCTGGAATGTGCATTAAGCTTCCCAGCCTCAGATGGCTTGACGTCTAGGGACACCCCTGCGTGCATTAAAACAACCTAATACAAAATGGTGACTGGCCCCTAAAGGAAATCTTGTTTAAATGAGGCACTAAAGCAATGGCTACCTCTGTACTCCAGCTGCTGTGGAACTAAAAGTCCCATGATGCATTGCAAGACTCTGGCAGCCACAGGCATGACTCCCAGAAGCAGGGGCATGATGGGTTTTCTGGTGTAACCTCAGCTAGAGTGCCGAGGCTGCCTACCCCCTGCACTAAAGTGATGGGAAATCTGAGCTTTTACAGTTGTCACCAGAACAGGTGGTGACAGGAAATCTAATAATGGAAATACAGATATTTAAAAAAAAACAAAAATCAAAACTAATCTAAAATAAAATACTTTATTGGGCCCATTTTAAAATGCTGTAGATCTTTAATAACCTAAATTTGCTTCCCCCAATGTCTATTCATCCGGCTGCCTCTCTGAACATCCCATTATTATTGCTCTTGCGTAAAGTCAGCAAAAAAAAAAAATCCTAATATTGTTTCATTGTGAATTGAGAGGCCGAGGCGAGTTACTGTAGGCCGGATGACGGTCACTGAGTGTCACAAATGATGTATGCTGTAATTCCGAGGCGCTGCTCCATTCAGAAAATCCTCTGTGTACACGGCTCCCTCGATGACTCATCCATCTCATCCTCCTTTTCATCCTATTTATTTTTTTGCCTGTGGCAGCAGAGTATTCATTTGGTGTCGGCTTTCCCCTTTGTGGTCACTTAGACTTGTCCTGACTTGTAAAGCAACTTAATACCAAGAGCGACTGGACACAATGAGCTCACCAGCCGACGGCCAGGAAAATCCCTCTTCAAAAGATTGCTAAAAGGAGTTCACCATCATTCAAATAAATGCACCCGTGAACAGGACTGTATTCACAAGACGTGATGCCCTGGGCGTAGCCGAACCATGGAACCCTTTTGCACGATCTCGGCCCCTTGCCTCATTGTTTTAGTTAAAAAAAATAGCTGGCATAAGCTCTTGGAGGCATCACGAGGTCTGATTTTTAGGCTGAATGACTCTTTATTAGTCCAGACTCCCAAACAAGACAAAGGAGAGTCAGTTTCATGTCTCCTATACTATAAAGAGTCTTCTGATTCCTTTTACCATCCCTCTTTCCCCCTATTGTTCTCTAACTAAATGTATCCACAATTGTCCAGAAGTGAACATTTGCCCAACAAAATAAGCAAAAAGGTTTTCCGTTTGTACTTTTTAAAGGTCGTTGCTGCCCCCCAGCCCCCCAGCCAGAGCTCCATTATGGTAACCACAGCCCTGTCTCTGAATGTGCCTCCCGCTCACACCAAAGAAGCATTTGCCTTTGCTACTACGGAACAAATTTTAGTACAAAAGATCTTTTGTGAACCTTTTCTAGCACAGTGACATCAAACCCCGTGATTTGGAGGAGAAGGAGCTCCACACTAATGTTTGTGAGGCCAAATATTATATTTTCATCGCAATATATCCTAAAACATCCAACACATTTCAGAGGTTCTAGTAGGGATGCAGCGAAAATACATTTTTAGACCGAAACTGAAATTAAAAAAAATTTGCCACCTGATATTTCCCTTTTTAAAATAGAAAAAGAGATTCACACAGAGTCCTCCATCTCTTTTTCCGCACCCCCTGTTATGAATGAACAGGAAGCCTCTTTACTGAATGCTCCTGTCCATTCATAAACTGAGGAGATAGTATCCGTTACTATGTCCACAATCCTGAATGAACAGGAAGTGATGTAGAGCACTTCCTGTTCATTCATAACTGGGGTCATAGTAAGCATACTATGCCCTCAGTTATTGTACCATAACGATGCATCTCTAATTCTAAGGGATCTCACTTCATCAGAGCTAATTAAACTGGTGGAAATATGATTGATGCCGGACTAGAAAAGGTTCAAAAATAGATACTTATGTTATTCTACTCTAAAATTGGAACCCCTGAAACGTGTTGTTTCCGATAAACAATGACAAAATAAATTAACTAGGACTCTCAACCTCCTGGTATAGCGCTTCTTTTGGATTTTGTCTGAAGCACCTCCAGGGGGTAACACTGTGTGAGAGCGTCCAAACCCGAGTCACTGCACTCCACTTCATATAGTCTATGCCACACTTCAAAAGCAAACCTTCTACGGATCCAGGGCATCCAACCCATTCCTTCTTAATCTAACACACTGAAGATTTTCTTTTTTACTTTTTATGCCTTAGAAATAATATGCATCCTGGAATACTAATCCTTTTGCTACACTGGTTAGAATACAAGGGCCTACTATACTGTCCCCCAAGTTGGTTTATATCATGTATTTTATGGCTTTGCTTTATATTTTATTTATATTTATCATACATTTTTACTTCTTGCATTGGCTGTTGAAGGATCCATTGCAACTGGTGCCCAAGTGTTGCCCTTTTCTATGCATGACAGTGGTTTGCTATGACTATTCATACATTTTATAGTCACCTGTAGGTAACTATGGGCAGACTATAGTGGTGCCAATCAAACTGAAACATTTCCCATAAGACAGCTTATGCTGGGCCCCATTTTGGCCAGTCACAGTCTAAAACCAAATGTATTAAGACTTTTCTTACAGTTATAGGTGGTATAGTTGGGGGAAAGCAAACATAATTTTGGTGCTGTCTGTGTACATTATTCTAATCATGTAATTATATTTTATTGTACAGGTAATTCTGGAGAGAACCACACACACAATCAACAGTAGGTCATCTTTTTATTGACAATGGCTGAAAACCTTGAGGACAAACTCAGTGATCTTGATGTGAGACCTAAAAGCAGTCGCAGTAGAAGTGCGGACAGGAAAGATGGCTACCTTTGGAGTGGCAAGAAGAAGTTGAACAAAAATGGATCTGATGGAGATGCTGAGACTGTGCCAGAGAAGGCAGAAGGTCCCTCAAAAAGCCAAGAGAGGAAGCCCAGTTGTTCATCCTTTGAACTTGACTTGGACCGCTCCTGTGGACATAAGCTGTTGGGGAGGTCTTTAAAGCAAAAACTGCAAGATGCTGTTGGGCAATGCTTCCCCATAAAAACGTGCAGCAGCCGCCACTCATCCGTATTGTCTTCCAAAAGGAAAATTCATATCAGCGAATTAATGCTGGACAAATGCCCTTTCCCTCCAAAGTCTGACCTTGCTTATCGCTGGCATTTCATCAAACGGCACACGGCTCCGGTCAACCAGTCCCAGAAACAGTGGGTTATTAGGGATGCTCCTAAATTAGAACCAATAGACATGGCCGACCAGAGCTCGGATTGTGGAGAGGACATCTTGTCTGACGAGCCTCTTTTTTCTTGTGAGGCAAGCTGTGGTTCGGTGGAGTCCTTCACCAAGGTGGTGAGGAGCAGCAAGGAGGACAGCGATAATGACTCGGACGACGAGGTCCTAACACTGTGCGCCAGCTCAAGAAAGAGAAACAAACCCAAATGGGAAATGGAGGATGAGATTTTCCACCCTGCCACCCCACCTAAATATCACACGCAGATAGATTACGTCCATTGCCTTGTCCCAGACCTCTTTCAGATCAATACCAACCCATGTTATTGGGGGGTGATGGATAGATACGCAGCAGAGGCGCTCTTGGAAGGTAAGCCCGAGGGGACATTCTTACTGAGGGACTCTGCTCAAGAGGACTATTTATTTTCTGTGAGTTTCCGACGCTACAGCCGCTCCCTGCATGCCAGGATTGAACAATGGAACCACAACTTTAGCTTTGATGCTCATGACCCCTGTGTGTTCCACGCGCCCAATGTCACAGGGTTGTTAGAACATTACAAAGACCCCAGTTCCTGTATGTTCTTCGAACCCCTCCTGTCCAGTCCCCTCCACAGGACATTTCCCTTCTCCTTGCAGCACATCTGCAGGTCCGTAATCTGCAGCTCCACCAATTACGACGGCATTGATGCCCTGCCCGTCCCGTCTTCCATGAAACTTTATTTGAAAGAGTATCATTACAAGTCCAAAGTGAGGGTGCGCCGCGTGGACTTACCAGAGCGGCATCAAAAGTGATACGACTCATATGACATATTTTTATGCTTTGGTCTTTTGACCTGTTTTCTACAAGAAAGCTTGTAATCTATCACAATAAACTTCCTAAGCCGCAAATGTATTATTTTTGTAGTGGTAAATCGAGGAAGTGATCTGTAACATTTCACAGGAAGGCAGGAGACTGCCAACACTTCTTCATCCAATAAGTTGTTTATAAAACAGTGTTTAATAAGGTTGGTCGATGATTTCAGTTATCATGTCATGCCAATAAAATTATATCAAATGGTGGACGTTTTCTATGCACCTCCTGTTTTGCTTTTAAGAGGACCTCAAGATAGTGTTGGGGGCAGTTTGGCCCCATTAATAAAAGTCTCTGAAGTAGAAAGCGACAATGTCAGATAGGGGAAACTTCATTGTGACAGATGTCAAAAACCTATTTCCTCTGTTTTGCCTAAGGCCCTCTGCTCCCCTGTCAGACGGGAAAGTCTTTAGATGAGAATGAAGTGATAGGACGTGGTTTCCTACTAGGGTTTCCACCTTTTTTTCAAGCGAAACGCGAACACTCCACCTACACTTAGGCCCCATTCACACTGAGCGACATGAAAATCGCACGATTTTATATGGAGCGATATTGAGTGACTTGTTCCTATTGGGCTGTATGCAATCAGGAGCAAAATCGCTCAAAATAGCTCGAAAAAAGGGTCATGTAGGAGCGACAAGCTACAGCGACGAGCTACAAGCGATATTGATTGGCGAGATGTAAACAGCTCCATTTGAAATGGATTGGAGAAGCTACATAGAGCGATATAGTGTGTAAATATGAGCGATATCGCTGGAAAAATCGCTTGATAAATCGCTCAGTGTGAATGGGGCCTTAGACATTTTTCGGGGAGAATGAGTCGTGGCTTATTCATCTGTAAATAGCGCCACCCATTCATGTGTAAATATCACAGTTGAGGCTATTTTCAAGGGGGATATTGGCACCCCGGCATTTCTGTCAGTTAATGCACCACTTCGTGCAGAAAATTGTTGCAATTACAAATGTTTTGGCATTCTCATGTTTATTTCTTTTCTTTGTATTGGTGACACAAAAAAGTAAAGAAAAAAACAAAAGCCAAATCTGACACATTCCACGCAAAACTCCAGAAATGCAAGAAATAATTGCGTTCCAAGTTTTTTTGGAGAAGCACAGACAATCTCAAGGTTGCAAGTCCTTCTCCAGAGAACTGAATGTTCCCGTGTCCACTGTGCGCAACATTGTCAGGAAGTTTCCAGCCCGTGGCACTGGAGCTGATCTCCCTGGCCGTGGACGGAAGAGAGCAATTCATGAAAGATTGCAACGAAGGATTGTTGGAATGGCGGATAAAGACCTTCCATCAACTTCCAGACATATTCAAGCCAACCTTCAGGCACCGGGTACAACTGTGTCAGCTCGCACTATACGTCGCCATCTGAATGATAGGAGACCCACTGCTGACAAGGAAACATAAAAAAGCCAAAATCTTTTTGGGAGAATGTGCTGAGGACAGACAAAACAAAATTCCAGCTTTTTGGTGCAGCCCATCATTCTATTGTACTCAGAAAAAGAATTTAATCTTAAAAAAACTAAAAAAAACAGTCCCTCCAGTCACACATGGGGGCGGGGGGTTGGTCACTTATGTTTTGGGGTTGATTTGCTGCTTCAGGCACTGAAAGATTGACTGTGTGCATGACATTATGAAATCTGAATTCTGGGGTGCAATGTAGGGCCCAGTATCAGAAAGTTGGGTCTCCATCAGTGGTCATGGGTCTTACAGCAGGAGAATGACACAAAGCACACGTCACAAAGCACCCAGAAATGGTTTCAGACAAAGCGCTGGAGAGTACTGGACTGGCCAGCAATGAGTCCAGATCCAAATCCCATAGAGCTTCTGTGGAGGGAAAAGGAACCTTCCAATCTGAGAGACCCGGAGCAGTTGGTGAAAGAACAGTGCTCCAAAATTCCTGTAGAGAGGTGTAAGAAACTCATTGATGGTTACCGGAAGTGATTGGTTTCAGTTATTTTTTCCCAGGGCTGGAGTACCAAATATTAATTGAGGGTGCCAATAATTTTGTCCAGTCCATTTTTGGAGTTTGGCGTGCAATGTGTCAGATTTGGCTTTTTTTCTCCTTTTTGTTGTGTCACCAATACAACCAAAAGAAATAAACATGAGGATGCCGAAACATTTGTAATTGCAACAATTTTCTGCACGAAGTGCTGCAATATCTGACAGAAATACAGGGGTGCCAATATTTCTGGCCATGACTGTATGTACCTATATTGGGGGGTAGGCAACATTGCCATTTGCCTTTTGCAATGCCCTATGGGACTTGTAGTCCCATAACAGCTGGAGTGCCGAGGTTGCTCACCCCTGAGATGTATATATATAGAGAGAGAGAGACGGACTCGGATTCTCCCAGGCTGCCCCGTGTCTGACTTCTGCAGTTTCATGACAACTAATCCTTGAAATGTTTTGTGGAATTGTTATCATGTTACACAGAAATGACTTGCCGGAGGAGTGAAAACAGATGGCTGCTCTGAATGAACACACTCGGCCCTTTTGTAACGTGGATGCAGCAAAAGCAAAACAGAAACTTCCATTCTCAATGTAACCCCTCTGTGCAAGAACCTGGAGGGGCCCCTGCATCCCCCCCAGAATACAGCAGAGGGGCCCCATCCACAGCAGCTGCAGTCTTGTGTCCTTGTGGCATATGGTGGATGGATTTTAACAGGACCAGGTTACAGTACTCTATGGGGTAAATCAGTTTTTCCCCCCCCACTTTTAAAGGAGAACTATGAGATGCTGGGCGGATCCAGACATAATTGTTGGAATCCGCTCCAGCTGCGGCGTCTCAGTATACCGCGAGCTGTAGCTCTCTATATACTGAGCTCTGGGTGACGGGAGAACTCTAGTTTGTGTCCTCCCGTTACCCTAAGGAGAACTATGGGGAAAAGCCCTAACCCCATAGTTCTCCTTTAAAGAACCGGTCTAGCACCCCCCTTATTTTGTTCCCTTCACATTACAAAATCCTGGTGACTACCCAGATAGCAAGGATAACTTGCCACAAACTTGTGTCGGGGTTAAATTGTAATTCTTGTTAACTTGCTGCACATATTCCTGGCAAGTTGTAGACTCGCAGAACACTCGCAGCACAAGTTCTAGTTGACACTTTTTGAATTTGTCGCAAATTTGCTTGGCAGGTCTACAGCAAGAGTCCTGCAGGTCTTAGGCTGGGTTCACCCCTAGGTGTATTCAATATGCGCGTTTCGCGGTAAAAAAAACCGCGCAACAAACGCGCGTTTCCATGAGCTACTTGAATGTATCCCAATAGAAACGCGAGACCAAAACGCCCCAAAGAAGTACATGTACTTCTTTGGGCGTAGGCCCTTTTGTATCGCGTTCGGACGGGCGGAAATACGGCAAGGTGTGAACCAGACCCATTGAATACAATGGGATTTAGATGTTTGAGCGTTTTGTAGAGCGTTCGCCGAGCGTTGAACGCGCTACAAAGCGTTCAGGTGTGAACCAGGCCTTAGCAAGAGCTCTGCAAGCTCGCTGGTCTGGAGACTTGCAATGCCGACTTGCTGTAATTGTGCAACAAAATTGTGAAGCTCGGCAAGTCTGCAATAGTTTAGCAAGTCATTTTCAAACTTGCAGCTCAATTGCTTGCTATCTTGGTAGTGAAGTTCTTGGCTGTGTTCACAAATGCCTAACACTGACCAGCCCCTACTGCAGCTTCTCACCTTGCAACTTGTTACAATGTTACAAATTTGATGGCGTCATCTCAGCCTGGCCCGTCACTGGGTGGAGCACAGGGACACATTTTGAATGATAGTAGGCGGAGCTTTTCTGAACAAAAATGATACGGTTGCTGTGTACTGTGACGTGCCAGGAATGTACTCGTGCTGACTTGTAAAGTTACTGAACCATCCACTGTAATCCTGTGTCAGTCAATACTGTATGAAAATATGACCGTGCTTAATGATTAATCGGAATCCAATGATTCCTATTGTGTCTGAGAACTGGCCCCTGCTCCTCTGAGTGGTTTGATCCATCAACCTGCTGATTCCTTTGTCCTTACATAGTGGGAGGAACCACAGGATGCCGAGGGGAGTTCCAAAGATTCTTCAGGCAGCAGTATCTATTCAATGTGGAGAAGATCGATGGTGCAGGAGAGGTAACTACTAACTGCTTTATTTGTAGGGGACACTTCTTAATGCTGAACACTGGGATAAACAAATATTGTCCTCAAACTACTAATATAAGAGTCATGTGTATTCTTCCTGAATCTTGGTGAGCTTTGTGTATTTCTTCCAGATCTGTGCAATAATCCAGTGTGAGACTTGGAGCTTCCTGTAATAAAGACCGGTCACTGTTGCTCTCCCTCCTTGTGCAGGGTGACTGGTCTTGTCTCCGCCCCCTCCTGTAATAAAGACCGCTCACTGATGCTCTCTCTGCTTGTGCAGGGTAACTGGTCTTGTCTCCGCCCCCTCCTGTAATAAAGACCGTTCACTGATGCTCTCTCTGCTTGTGCAGGGTAACTGGTCTTGTCTTCGCCTCTTCCTGTAATAAGGACCGCTCACTGCTGCTCTCTCTGCTTGTGCAGGGTGACTGGTCATGTCTCCGCCCCCTCCTGTAATAAAGACCGCTCACTGATGCTCTCTCTGCTTGTGCAGGGTAACTGGTCTTGTCTCCGCCCCCTCCTGTAATAAAGACCGTTCACTGATGCTCTCTCTGCTTGTGCAGGGTAACTGGTCTTGTCTTCGCCTCTTCCTGTAATAAGGACCGCTCACTGCTGCTCTCTCTGCTTGTGCAGGTTGACTGGTCTTGTCTCTGCCCCTTCCTGTAATAAAGACCGCTCACTGATGCTCTCTCTGCTTGTGCAGGGTGACTGGGCTTGGCTCCGCCCCCTCCTCTAATAAAGACCGTTCACTGATGCTCTCTCTGCTTGTGCAGGGTAACTGGTCTTGTCTTCGCCTCTTCCTGTAATAAGGACTGCTGACTGCTGCTCTCTCTGCTTGTGCAGGTTGACTGGTCTTGTCTCTGCCCCTTCCTGTAATAAAGACCGTTCACTGATGCTCTCTCTGCTTGTGCAGGGTGACTGGTCTTGTCTCCGCCCCCTCCTGTAATAAAGACCGGTC